TAAAATAACTGTCATAATTAATCTTCACTAGGAAAAAACATGAAAAGTTGACTTTTCAGGCATAAATTTATTCTGAAAAGAAACCCTCCATTTATAATAATTATTATAAATCCTTGGAACTTAAGTGAATTTCATACTACATGAAAGTCTTGGCAATTCCTTCCAGATTAAGCCAAATCTATGATAACCGTTGACTGTTATATGGCAACAGAATTGCTTTGTACTCTTGATCTTTACAAAAGGTGCATGGGCTACCTCAAGAGAACATCTGGCTCTGGGTCATTTCGTTAAAAATTTAACTGGCCCCTTTTCACATTAAAAAAGAGATAAGATTGCCGAGACCGGTTTGGCTCAGTGGATTAGGCCTGTGGACTGGAGGGTCCCGGATTCGATTCCAGTCAAGGGCATGTGCATTGGTTGTGGGCACATCCCCAGTGGGGGGTATGCAGGAGGCAGCTGGTCAATGTTTCTCTCTCATCGATGTTTCTGGCTCTCTGTCCCTCTCTCTTTCTCTCTGCAAAAAAATCAATAAAATATATTTAAAAAAAAAAAAGATAAGATAGCTGCTTAACAGGGCCACAGGTTCCTAATAAATGTCATACCAGCTGAGATTAAATTTTATTTTAAATAATTAAATTCTCAATTCTTCAGACATGAAGGAAATCCCATTATACAAGTGAAACAGCAGAGCATAAGCTAGGGTGGGAGGTATGGTGGGGAGACTAATACAAAACATGGTTTCAGCATGAATTCATTACCATATTTTTAGTCTCTGGAATGAATCTGTAAAGATCAAGTCACACTTCCACCCAATCCTTACTTCACCTAACAATGGATTTTCATGATCTTTGGCCATAGCTCCTAGATGAGAAAGAGGTCTTTGGTCATGTTATTTAAGTAACTTCCTAATTAGTCTCCTGTAGAACTTTCCTGAAAAGAAGAAAAATTAGAAACTAAAATTGTGAAAATATCAAGTAAATGGAGACAACCGTTTTTAAACTGTTTTTATATTGTTTGAATAAAATAGACTTCCCAAGTCTAAACACCAACTTATGTTATCTTATAAACAAAACCATTAAGCATTTATTTCTGCTACGTTTTTACAAAATATACCTTGTTGACAATGATGCTATTTCCAAGGTTATTTTCTATTTTAAAGATCCAGTAACAAATACTTGCTTAAACTCTAAAAATGTAAGAAGCAAAGAAAGAGTAGAGTTAAGACGGACAGCACTGGTTTTTGCTTTGCACACTGTTGTGGAGACTGTGAACAGGGAGAATAAAAAGTAGGAGTAAACTTGAACAGGAAGATTATTTCAGGATAAAGAAAGTTCTCTAGGATAAAGAGAATTTTCTCTGTATTTTAGTAGACCAAATCTATCTAGGCCAAGTGGAAAAAACACAAATGCCAGGAAGAATTCCATAAAACAGAAACAATGAGGAAGAGAAACCAAATGTAGGTTGCCAGAAGGTACAACGAAAACATCCAGCGGTATGATGTTGGCAAAATGCACAGGCATGTTTGTTTTGGAAGTTCAGAGTCAAGCACGTGGGTGGACCCAATTAGAAATACCCAACTGCTGCACAGCACAGATTCTCCTGCTCTGGTTCCCTTCCCACCCTCCCTACCTTAACCAGACCATATCCCTCAAAGATAACTTCAATCAACTTTAGACAAAACCTCCAAAATTAGAACAGGATACCCCCCCCTTGCGCAGCGCACTGGGGATCCATTTCTGCATTATGCCTAACAGCTCTGTTGAAGGATGGCTAGGTGGCTCCATGCACAGTGAGGCCGGAACTGCTGTAGACCAGGACGGAAATAGGCAGGATGAATGCCTTGCAGCTATGGAGGTGACACAGATGAGGTACCTCACGTCCCAGAATCCCAACCTGTAATAAAACTAGTGGCACAAGCTCAGCCTCCTTCCCAGCTTGGACACACCGAACCCTACTTCTAACCCCTCACCTGCCTCCTGCCTCACATTCCATTCCTATATTTTGCAACAGTCAGGCTATTTCTCAGCAGAGACACTGACTCAACTGATTCAAACACAAAAGAAAATGCAGCCCTGGTTAGAGTGTTGGCCTGCAGACCCAAGGGTAATGGGTTCAATTACCGGTCAAGGACACATATCACCATTATGGGTTCAATCCTGGCCCTGGTCAGGACCCATGTGGGAGGCAACCAATCCACGTGGGTCTCTCTCACTTTGATTTTTGTCTCTGTTTCTCTTCTCTCTCCACTCCCACTCTTCCCTCCCTCCTACTCTGTCTGAAAATCAATGGGGAAAATATCCTCAGGTGAGGATTAGGGGGGAAAAAGGAAATGCAGATGGGCAAAAACCCAAGAATGGCAAGGAATCATAATTAAAAAGAACTAAGACATAATGAGCTCTTTTATGTGCATTTTCCATGGACTGTATCTTTTTGTCACCACAAGCAAGTTAGGAGGTAGATGCTACGTTCCCATACAGATAACATAACCAAAGCACAAAAAATATGTAATTTGTCCCAAGTCGTACAGAAAGGGGCTCGGCTCAAACCCAAGCAGTCTGCTCAGGAATCATAGGCACAGCTATTAATAAAACACGGACAGATGCTAGAGTTAGGAAAACATTTATTTGCCCAGGACTTCAGTAATAGCCTCCTTCATTCTCATTTTGACACGATGCAGCTTGAAGCTGCTTCCCTAGGAGGCTGTTACCAAAAACATTACTGCCTTATACCCACATCTTTTTCTCTTCCTCTCTAGCAAAAACACACCCAAAAGACAGTGTTTCCATGTGTCTAAATTACTTTCAGACATCATTTATTTCTACTAGAAAAAGAATAAAACAAGTTGCTAAAGAAAAATAATGAACAATGACATTATTTTGACAAATTCTATTTTCTAAATAAAATATAATACTACTAATATTTTTGTTTTGTTTAGGGAAAATAAATCTATTGAAAAATATGTTTTTATTGATTTCAGAGAGAGAAAGGGAGAGGAAGAGACAGAACAGAAATATCAACGATGAGAGAAGCATCGATCAGCCTCCTCCTGCACACCCCACATTGGGATCGAGCCCGCAACTATGGCATGTGCTCTGACTGGGAATAGAACCATGAATAAATCTACTTTTAATGCCTTTAAGAACCTCTAAAAAATCTTTTTTTTAATATATATTTTTTATTGGTTTCAGAGAGGAAGGGAGAAGAGAGAAACATCAACGATGGGAAAGAATCATTGGCTGCCGCCTGCACACACCGCACCATGATAAAGGGGCTCTTTCTGCCCCGTGACCTCTCTGTCAGAGGACGGACATGCGGGTTGCATGGAACTAACGTTGTTGCTGCAGCTACCAGTTGCTACCAGTATATGCTCTATGGCCACAATTTTCTATGTGCTTTTTGTCCGTTCTTTTGTTTAACCCTCATAACAATTCTCTACAGCTTTATTATCCCTGACTTTCAGAGATGGTATAGACTTAGGAATAGAGCTGATGACCAAGATGGCAGGGTGGGATTTCAATTCATGTCTGTGTGTTTTTCCCTTCTGTGAAAATGCTTTAAAAAAGGTGACACCTAATGAGCCCACAAACATCCTGAGTGACTGTGTTTTGGATGTGGAAGGTGTGCTGAGACATTGGAGAACAGTACAGGGCAAAGCTTCCTGGGCTGGGGGCAGGACTCTGCACAGCCATAAGAAAACTGCAGTAGTAAGTGTTTGTGGGCTGGTCCTGGGGAGAAGAGAGGGGCGGAAGAGGAGGTTGAACAGGGCTGGTGGCTGAAGGGGCAGCAGAAAAGCAAGTTCTCATGAGAGACCACATTTTGAGATGGTCTAGTAACCAATGTTCAATCTTGTACCTCACAATCGACTGAAGAATGGAGTCTGCAGTTGGGGAAGGTGAGGGTGAGGCAGTTGGGGAATATAAAGTTGGGAGTCAGCAGCATAGAGGTGGTTTAAAGCCAACGTGGAGAGATCGTCTAGGAAAAGATGCATGCCTGGGGCCCTCCAACACTTCAACTTAAAGAAAACAGCCAAAGCCAGCAAAGAAGGGTGGCACGTAGAAGGCCTAAAGGTAAGAGGAAACCCAGAAGAGGGTGGTGTCCTGGAAAGCAAGAAAGTGACATTTCAACTCCGCTGAGTTCTACTACCTGCAATATAGCGACTATGGGCTTAGCAATGTGAGGTCACTGGGAATGTGACCTTTTTAGTTAGAGAGTGGGGGGAAGCCACGCTGAGGTGGGTTAATCAGTTAAAGGCAATTAAAATAAATGGCATTTTAAAGAGTGGGAGGTGAGGAAGTTAAGGCCATAAGAACAATCTTCCAGTAAGTTGCCCAACCCACACAGCAGCTAGCTATCATTACCAGCACCATCTCAGAAGGCTGCTGAGCTCGGCAGGGGCAAATGGGGGCGGGGAGGAAAGGGGGCGTGGGGGGAAGAGAGAGGTAGCCAAATCCAAGAACGCAGGTAAGACCATTCCTATAGGGATGTGTCCCTATAATGAAACCATTTCCACCAAACACGCATACCTGCTCCTAAGGAATCCTGTTAAATAGAGAATCAGTACTAACCGTGACTAACTTGAATGGCAGCAAAAATATGTGTAAGAACTTGTTCTCTAGAAGAAAAAGAGCCCCAAGTTGTTCCGTTGTGACATCAGCAGATGCCTGGAGCTATCAGGCCTGGGTTCCTCTGATGGCCCAGGCGAGTCCGGCCCTCCCTGAGCTCCTCCCTAGAGCTCGCAGCTGTGTGGGTTGGGACAAGGGGTTTGCTCACTGTGTGGAAGGAGGGAAGAGGTAACTAAGCAATGGGTACTGCGTCTGCCTAACACTTTCCCACCAAACACTGACAGAACTCACTTTGCAAACAAATAGAAACACTGACGATAGAACTCAGTTGGTAGCAAATACAAGAAACGGAAGAAAAGTGAAGTTCTGAGCCAGTGGGTGGGGAGGCTCACAAAACCTCTAGCAGTGCCCAAACTGTGAAGGGAAAGCCCAGCTCACCTCGCTGTTGTGGCCCCGCAGGTTGAAGTTAATTCTCTGCGGCGTGTTCCTGTCCCGGCGGCAGTGGCTGGAGGTGAAGGTCACGCCCACGACGCCTCGGCCGTTGCCCGTGGCCAGCCAGCCCTCCTCGTAGTAGCGCCTCCTGCACACGGGCTTCTCCTTCTCGCTCTTGGGGACGCGGCCCTTCCAGGACAGGCAGAGGATGTTGGAGTCGCTGCAGAGGACAGGCCCCTGCTCCACCGCTGCATACATGCTTTCTCAGTGACTACTGTCCTTGCAGAGTACCGCTGGCCGCTGACAAAGCCACCCCGGCTCCTCTCCTGGATGGAATATTCTATTTCTGTGGTCGGCTTGCTTGGCTTCCCCGGTCTCCTCTAATTAAGATTGACCTGGATCTAATCAGAAGGTCAGTATTTTATAAAGATCCACCAAATGCATAGTGAAAAAAGTCCTCTATAAAAGACGATGGCAGTCTGCTAAGAAAAGGTAATGCTTAAAAAAACGTGGGGCCCATTTTTATTTTCAAGTCCTTAGAGGAGGAGGGGGCTGGCCCTTTGGAGAAAGAGCATCGCTAATCCGTAGTGCACAAGAAACGGAGTTTCCGACTTTCTACTCAACTCTGTTATTCTGGTTCCGCCTGAGATTCCAGTTTAGTGTAATGTGATTCCAGAGACCAAGGGCTGCAAATACATAGATTTCAAGTAACTTAAGGCTTTAAGAATCCCTTGAGCTGGAATTTTCTCTTCACAAGTTCAGAGGCAGAAACAAAGCACAGGGGATCCCCCTCTCCCTGAGGCCGCCCTCCGGCATGTTTTCTCAGCGAGAAAGTTCCTGCTGCTAGCGCTGAAAAGGCTGCATAAAGGGGAAAAGGCACACACCGTGCAGGACGATCAGTTTGTGCAGACGGCAGTCCGAGTTCCGGAAGAAGAGTCTATGCCGTGGTTCAGAGCCCAGAACGCCCCCTCCTGAGAGCCGCAGTGGCTTCCTGGCCGGTCCCTGTGCCCCCGAGCTGGGCTCTATCTGATGCCCTCACAGCCCAGCAGCCCTCATGCCACGGAGCGGCTGAGAGAAGCCCCCTGTCCGCAGAGCCAGAGCTGGTCCACGTGTTTGCCCAGGAGAGTCCTAATCCTCCCGCTGCCCAAGCGAAGCCTCCGCAGCTTTCTTCTCTTCTGCCCGACTCCTCCCCCACCCGTCTAACTCCTGCCCTTTCTGCTCCTAAAAGTCACATCTTTTTCATCTTGAAGGGAAAAAAAGAACCTCAGACTTAAGTCCACCAAGTAATCCTCCTCTTACATGCACAAGTCTTCTTAAACTCCACAGAGAAGAGAAAAGAACAGAAACACAGGCAAGGGCCGGGGTCTTCCCCGACGTTTCCCTAAAGAGTCACCCGGTCTGGCTGATGGCCCTTTTCTGCTCACATTCAGAGACTGTTTCCCAATGCCACACGCACAGTCCGAGGAAAAGCAGCTTCGCTTGGGTGTTCCTTGATATTTATTTATCGGTTTCAAATGCTACCTAGGATATTATCCTATAGATACAGAAAAGGAAAGGGAAATAATAAATTAAAATTTCTTGAGTATAGTCAACTGAAAAAGGGAAAGGAACCAGTTCACTGTTCAAACTTGTCCCATCAAACCTGAACCGGCTTTCCTCCAGTCACAAGCTCACGAAAGAAACTTGTCAGTCCAGAATGGTACAGTCTCTGTCCAAATCATCAAACCCACTGAAAAATAAAGTGCAAAAAACACTGCTTGATCCCACCTGAAAAGCTTGAGATTACACTGCTCCCCTGGCCGCTGTCTCACTTAGCTCCTTGTTCAAACTGGAGAGGTATTTCTGAAGCTTGATCTGTGCAAGTTTTTTCCTTCTTCTTTTTGCAGACTTTCTTTACCCGTGAAGACCATATGGAAAGTTGGCCATTAGTGATGCATTTTTCTTCCCGGGCCCCATGAGCCCAGTGGGGTCAAGTTGCTCCATCTGATTCTTAGATTAATTTTCATCAGTTGTAAAATGCTTCAAGTGTGCGCCAGAACGAGCCTGTCTTCTCATGTGTGTTTGTGTGTGTGCATAGAAAGGTTTAAATAGGCACCAACATCCACTCTTCAACTGGCCCGTCAAGTGTCTGTTTCCCAGTCATTTTAGGAACCATATGAGCAATCACAGCGTGCAGGCCCTGAAGTCTTACAAATCTGTAAAACAAACAGGATTTTTAAAAAGTGTTAAAATGCTGAAGAATAAAGCTTTAACAAAATAATCACTGTAACTGAAATTGGAGACCCATCTTTACACTTACTTACATGTACTAAATGGAGTTAGTGATTGGTAAAATTCAAAGAGCAAAAAGATACACCCCACCCACTTAGAAACAATGTACAACGTAAATCTGAGTGCCATTACCGGTTATTAATCTGTTAACCGGGAAGTTCCCTTTTTAATTACGCCAACGTACAATGGGCGCATACTCTTTCACTAGGACCTGTCAGTTCGTCACGCCCAGCGGACGTAATTTTATATTATTATTATTTTTTATTTATACTTCATTAAAATAAATGAAATATATACTTTTTCGTTTATTTATATATAAAGCACAATTCAAGGACGTATTCATATGTCCTACCCGTTCCCGATAGTGTTTACGTTTGACGTATTTATAGGTCCCGCTGGGTTAACCGGTTAAATGGCCAGTGGCTAAGCAGACCTGAAGTCACTACCTGTCTCCACCACTTTGCCCTCCTTTCTAAGACTCCGGATTACGCAAGATGGCCCTCCAGAGCCGTAATTCTGAGGAAGCAGGCAACATCCAAAAGGAGACTAAAGAGGCTCGGCCAGTTATGTGATTTGTCTCCCCCGCTACCTCCCCCCGCCCCCGCCACCCCCTTCAGTAAAAGATGTTCCCCAAAGACAGAGGGCAGCAAAGGTGTTTAAAATCCCTCCACCTCTGATTGGGGGTAAGTCACAGAGCAAAGCACAGCTGTTTTCTCAACTTTTAAACTGTCTAATAGCAATGAAGCCCAGCAAATCCGTCCTCTTCTTCCTGCTACCTTCAGTCCAGAACCACATCCTATCCACAAACACAGCAATGACTCAGCTCCTAACTTCCCACACCGTCCCACCTTCCAGAGGGTCCTCAGAGGGAGCTCTAAAAAAAGCAAGGCTACTTAAGAGCCTCCACTGTTCTTTCCTGGCCTAGGCAGTCCCCTAGAGGCCCAATGACACACAGCCTGGCCGCAGCCCAGCTGCAGCCACAAAGCTGAAGCCACAAAACCGGACCTAAAGCCTCAAGCGAGGCCCAGGTATTTGCATTTCTAACAAGCTCCCAAGATATGCTAATGCAGCTGGTCTGGGGAGCAGCCATGGAGAACCACTGGTCAATGGGGCCAAGACCCTTTATGATCTGATTTCAGCTTGTCCTCTTCTCCTGACACAGCCTCCCCATCCAGCCTGTGTGACCACCATGGCCTTGGGCTACTCCCTGTCCACAAAGTATAATGTTCTTCCCCTCCATGTCTCCACTGCTGCCGCTCCCTTTAAAAGCCACCTACATGGCGCCTCTCCTGGGCTCTTCCCAGCACCAAGCCCTAACTTCTGCACCAGCCTCTTTACACCACATGCTGGCGCTCTTCTCTCCGCTCCGGAGCCGGGGAACCTGCCTTCCTCTGGAGTAGACCGTGCATACATGAACTGGGAGCTCAACAAGAGCAGCAGCAGGCAGGAGCAAGGCAGCAGCTCCACATAATGCCTCGAGATGCCCTACTACAGATGAGTACAGTGTAAACAGTTGTATGTGCCAGTAAATCAAAGCCACCAGAATCTCTCAGGAAGCATTTGCACCTGAAAAAATAAAGTGAAAACAAATGCTATAAAATTCAAATGAATGCCAAGTTCGTCCTCTTAAAAGAATAACATCACTGAATAATACCACCTTAGTCCCTGCTCTGGCAGGGCGCAGCATCACAGATGGCAAAAGCAAAAGCAACTTCTCAAGACCCAGCTATATATATGCATGGGTTTTAAACAACTAAAGAGCATAATTCATGATTATTAAAGCATCTATTATACATTAAATACAGCAATGTGAATTATCAGTCATCCCACCGAAACCCCCCAGGGTGTCCATAAAGTCAAGATAATTTTTATAATAATACTAGAATATTATGTGCCTTCTTCACTGTGTTGATAATTTGTATCAATAGTGCAAAAGTGATAGTGGGTCAAACTGCCAGCTTTTTAATACAATCAAGGCATTGGTACCCAACTGTACCAGTACTCATTGGATTTCTTTGAAATGTCAACTTCACTTAAGAATGTTCTCGATTCAGCAATAAAATTGTTAATTTTATTAAATCTCAACCACTGAATATATGACTGTTTAATATTCTGTGTTTCAAAACAGCAACTACACAGAAAACATTTCCACTGACTATTAAAGAACAGTAGTAACCCTGAGAAAAAGCACTTACGATATCATTCATTTTATCTGATTCCTACTTTCCACTGACATGAGTAAAATTCACCAAAGGGGGGAATAAAAATGAACTTCCGGTTTTTTAAGAAGCATTAGAATTAATGTTAGAGATCAGAGATAAATTTGGGAAGATATCTTCCATGTACACAATTTTGATAGAAATATTCATTAAAAATTATAAGCATGTAATAAGCACTCTAGAAAAACAGTTTGAGTCATTAGCACTAATGACATGAACACTCTGAATACAGCAATTCCACTCCTTTTACGTCAAATAGAACTATATTCTGGAATATTCTCTTTTCTCCATTTAGTGATGAGATTATCTATCTATTTGACTATATGCATCAGACACAGTCCTTACAAGCACTCCAGGGGACACACAGGCATTTGTAGCAGTAGCATCATTTACATTAGCCAAAACTTGAAACCAACCTGAATGAATCAAGTGTGGTACAGTATATTCAACAGCAGAATTCTATACAGCAAGGAAAATGAACTACAGAATAAAATGGGTAAGTTTCTCAAACATAATGTTGAACAAGGGATCTATGAAAAAAAAATCTACAATATGAATCCATTTATATAGAGTTCAAAATAGGCAAAACTAATTTTATCAGTTAAAACTGCATACACAGTTTTAAAAACAAGGAAAATGTAATGTAAGGCAGTGTAGCGATTCCCTGGGGACGGGGATTGTGAACAGAGAGTGTTGCTCAGTGCTCACCACAGCCTATGTCCTGATCTGGGTGGCAGTTTGGGGAGTTCACTCTTATAATTATTCTTT